ATCTTAAAAGTTGAGACAATCTTCGTTCCAAAAACTCCTCTAGTTGTCGTTCCTTTTTTTTTCAAGTCAACACTAACAATTTATCATAGATCATAGAAGATCATAGAATCGCTACAGTGTGGAAACAGGCCCTTCAGTCCAACAAGTCCACACCGACCCTCAAACTTGTTTTTTCTGTGGCGATTAGTCAGTGGTTCATAGTGAAAATGAGACAAAGCAGTTGTATGTCGTTCAGAAGAATTGGATTATCATATAATAAGACTGAATGAAACTTAGGGTGAATTAGGTAATGTTACACAATGAAACACACTGCACTCAACATCAATCTATGATTCCTGTGAGTCATTCTTGTTGATTCAATGTGTAATTTTTTTCTTGTTGGAAGTATTTGAGGGAAAATTCTTGCGGGGTTCTAGAAACAGCAACAGTTTCACTTCTTGATAGTTAAAAGTTATTTAGTTTCTGTTTATCCTTATATGATTTCAGCTTACTCTGAAACACACTGTTGAACTTAATACAGCCAGCCATGGTAGCACTTAATCACTGGAGGGCCCGTCAGACCAGCTGTAAAACCTCAAACAACAGCAAAATATTGCAGATGCCAAACATCTGAAACAAATACAAAGTGCTGGAGAAACTAAACAGATTTGGCAGTGTCTGTGGAGAGAGAAACAGAGTTAATGTTTCCAATATGGCTATTCTTCAGAGTAGCTCAGAAGAAATTCTGACGTGCACCAGAAGTTGATCTTGCAATGTAGTGAGATGTTATTAGCATGGATTTGGTTCCTGCACTGGCTGAAGTTACCATGAGACCTTCTCAACATCTGCCCTCCCTGGAGGTGTGGTGAGCCTCAGGTTAAACCACCAACAGTCACCTCTCTCTAATGAGAGAGCACTCCAGTAGGACTATGGTGACCTTACCTCTACCATTCATCGTGTATCCCTTGGCCTTGTTTGTCCTGCCCAAGCGCATCACCTCACAGTTAGCTGGATTGAATTCCATTGGTCACCGAGTAGTCCCTCTGACCAGTATCCTATATCCTCCTGCAATCTAGGGTTAACCTTCCCACCAATTTTCATATAATCTGCAAACTTATTGATCAACCCTCCTACATTTCAGTCTAAATTGGTTGTATATACCACAAACAGCAAGCTCCCCCCACCTCCACCACCTCCCCCCCCACCTCACAACATTGATCCCTGCAAAACCCAACCAGAAACAGGCTTCCACTCATAAAAACACCCTTTGACCATCACTCTCTGGTCCCTGCTACTCAGCCAGTCTGGATTCAATTAGCAAAATTTCCTTGGATCCACCCTTTTGAGTGGACTTGGGCCAGGGTCTCTTACCCTCTCTTTGAGGGTGTCCTTGAAGTGTTTCCTTTGCCCTCTTGAAGCTGCCTTGTTGTGTTGAATCTCTGAGTAGAGCACTTGTTTCAGGATTATCATGTCAGACACGTGGATGATTTGACCTGCCCAGATGGGCTGTTTTAGCGAGTTAGTGATTCAATACTGAGAATACGGCCTGAGAGAGAACATTGAAGGACTTGCAGGATCTTGCAGAGGCAGCAGTGGTAGTATTTCTCCAGGTGCTGACTGTATAAGGTCCACATCTTAGCCACGTAGAAGGGTGGGTATTACTGCAGCTCTATAAAACATGAGCTTAGTGCCCGGTTTGACAAATGTTTAGTGCAAGGCCAATGCTCTCTTATGACTTGAAGGCATTTAATTAATTTCAGTCATATTGTAAACATCAATGGAGACCACAGAGATACAAAGGCTGGCGAGAAGGATAGCAGCTGCTCTCTTAGCAAAATAAAGTTGGCTCTGGGTTAAATACAGACAATGCCTGTGTAAAAACTGTGGGAAAACTGTAGATAATGTAAGACACCTGGACAGAGAACTGTGGAAATTGTAATATGTATGGTGCAACGTTTTGCATAAAGATTGGAAGTTTCTGTAACATACCAGAGTCAGTTTTACACTTCATGATAATAAGACCGGCTGGCCCTGCACATGCATGAAATAAAGGAGTTAACTTGATTTTCCGAATCCTCTTGTCAACTTGTTGATGAGGCCAAGTTCGACAGAGATAAAGACAATCTTGGATTTGGTCTGCAAGCAGCAGAAGTTAAGCAGGTTCCATTTTAATCTGTAGATTAGCTCCATTCCCATGGGCTGCTTGCTGAGTGCGAGGTGGAGCACTGCAGCAAGAAAGATTGAGAAAAGCATCAGCGCAATAATACAGCTGCTTGACTCTAGTCTGAATAGGAATTTGGTCTCAGACCATAAGATATAGGAGCAGAACTCCCTATTCAATCATGGCTGTTATGTTTCTCAACCCTATTCTCTTGCCTTCTCTCCCTTACCCTTGATTCCCTAACTGATCAAGAACCTATCTACCTGTCTTAATCACTTGGCCTCCTCAGCCTTCGACAGCAACGAGTTCCACAGATTGACCACCATCAGGCTTCAGAAATTCCACGTCTCAGTTCTAAAGGGTCATCCCTTCATTCTAAGGCTATGCTCTCCTACTAGTGGAAACAGCTGCTCCGTGTCCACTCTGTCCAGGCCTCTTAGTATTCTGTAAGCTTTAATGAAATCCCCCCTCATCCATTGAGTACAGAGGAAGTCCTCAACCTTTTCTCATATGCCAAGACCTTCACCCAGGGATCATTTTTGTGAATTTCCTCTGGACCCCCTCCAAGGCTAGCACATTCTTCATCAGTTACAGGCCCAAAACTGCTCACAATATTCCAAATGCATTCTCACCAGAACCGAATACAACCTTAGCAGTACAGCTCCGTTCTTTTATGCTAGCCCTCTCAAGATGATTGCAAACATTGTGTTTGCTTTCCTAACTGCCAACTGAAACTGCACGTTAATCTTAGGAGTCCTAGTTCAGGATTCTCTCAAGTCCCTTTGTGCTATTTTCCCCATTTAGAAAATAGTGTACACCTTTATTCTTCCGACAAAGTGCATAACCTCACACTTTCCCACATTGTATTCTTCTTTACCTATTGTCCTAGCATGTCAAAGTTCTTCTGCAGCTTCCCCTCTTCCTCACACCACCTGATCCTCCACCTGTGTCATCTGCAAACTTAGCAACAATGCCTTCAATTCCTTCATCCAAATTGTTCATGTACAACTTGAATAGTTGTGGTCCCAGCATTGAAGCCTGTGGAACTCCACTAGTCACTGGCCGCCATCCTGAAAAATTCCCTTTATTCCCACTCTCTGCCTTCTGTCAGTCAGCCAATCCTCAATCCATGCCAGTATCTTGCCCCAAACACTACAGGCTCTTATCTTATTTAACAACTTCCTGTGTGACACCTTGTCAAAGGCCTTCTGGAAATCCAAATAGATCACATCCACTGGCTCTCCTTTATCTAACTTGCTCATTACATTGTTGAAAATAATTGTCTTCTGCAGAGATCTTCTGAGCTGAGACAACTGACCTCCATCAACCATCTTCCTTTATGCCAGATATACTCCAACCAGCAGAGAGATTTCCCCAATTCTCTTCACCTCCAGTTTTACTAGGACTCCTTGATCCCACACTCTTAATTGTGGCCTTGACATTAAGGGCAGTCACTCTCACCTCACCTCTAGAAATTCGACTCTTTCATCCATGTTTGAACCAAGGCTGTAGGGAGGTCAGGGCCTAATCAGAATCCACAGTAGGCATCAATGAGCAGGTTATTGCTGAACAAGTGCTGTTTGAATGCACTTTTGACGACATCTTTCATCACTTTATTGATCAAGAGTAGGCTGATGGAGTGGTAATTGGCCTGGTTAGAATTCTCCAGCTTTTCTGTGTACAGGCCATAACTAGTCAATTTTCCACATTGCTAAGTAGATGCCAGTGATGTAGCTGAACAGTTTGGCCAGTGGCAAAACAAGTGCTAGAACACAAGACTTCAGGATCATTGCTAGAATGGTGTCAGGACCCATAGCCTTTGCACTACCAATGTCTTCAGCCATTTCCTTGATGTTATGTGGATTGAATTATTTGGCTAAAGACTGCCACCCAGTGTCCTCTCCAAGCTGCACTACTGCCAGTTTCAGATTTCTTGTATGTTAGTATGCCAACGCATTAACTTCCAGTTTCAGAAGTCTGATTGGTTGTGGGATTGCTTGGCTTTGAGTATTGCATGTTGCTTCCACCGTTTAGCATGCCATAGTCCACTGTTGTAGCTCCACCAGGTTGATGCCTTTTTTTCAGGTATGTCTGGAGCTGCACTTGATGGTAGAGTTGGGGAAAGGATGAAGTGTGTTGGGCTATGAGGTACAAATTATGATTGAGTAACAATTCTAATGCTGTTGATGCCCACAGTGCCTCATGGATGCCCAGTTTTGTTTTGCTAAACCTGTTCAAAATCTATCCCATTTAGAAGGTATCTTCAATATGAAGGCAGGACTTTGACTCCACAAGGACAACACACAGGTCCTTTCCACCAATATCATCATGGGCAGATTCAACGCCCAGGTCAAGAAGGGAGTGATATAGTGGTATTGTCACTGAACTACATTATTTATTCATCCAGAGACCTGGGCTAAAGTTCTGGAGACCATGTCAGGAAGTGCAACCCAAGACTAAGGTCACGTTTTACTGTGGAGCAGTGATCCCCATGTTCCGACATGTTTTGGATACTTGGACAATCTATAGCAAATATCTGAATGCACTGGTGAATTACCACAGTTGCAACTTCATGAAAAAGTCTTCCAAATCTGGTGGTAAGGAAGGTAGTCTAACAGCAGTGTTTTCTCTCTCAAACCATCAGTAGTCATTCAAAACCAGCAGCAATAAGCAGGATATGCTGCTCATAAGCCAAACACAAGACTCCTGAAACAGCTTCTTTACTCAAAACTCAGTCATGGCAGCAAACTTCCAGACAGTCAGCAGAAACACAGAATTCCTAAAAAGGACAAACCTCTCCAGTGACTCATGAGCATCCCTGGCTCGTTACCAAACCCTAAATAATGAAGCCTCGTACATAGAAGGTGCCAACATTAAGATTTTATTGGGTACATATACAGGCAAAGGAGGGAGCCACAAACCTCCCAAAAACTAACGTACCTGAGCCTTCAACCATCACCTGCTCTGCATGTGGTAGATACTGCAGATCATACATGGGACTGAGTAAAACCTCCCTACTTTCATATTCTATTCCTTTTGAATAAAGGCCAATATTCCATTTGCCTTACCTATTAGCCTCTGAACTTGGACGCTAGCTTTTTACAATTCATGGGCAAGACTCTCAGATCCCTCTGTTCTGAGTTTTCTGGAGTCTTTCTCCATTTAAACAATATTAACATTTCCCATTTTTTTCTGCCAACTACATAAACCCACATTAAATTCCAATTTGCCATTCCAATTTTTTTCCTGCTTACTTAACATGCCCATTTCACTCTGCACATTTTGTGCGTCATTCTCACCACTTGCTTTCCTGCCTACTTTTTTGTCAATTTTATGTAAAGAATGGCCAAGAATGCTGTTTGATTCAGTACAGTTACCAACATTAGATGATGGCAATAATAGGACTATTTCAGAGAAAATATTCTTTATTTTTCAGCTCATTTGTTAGTGCTAACATGTAGCAATATCAACAGGCTATCTAAATTCTACTAAATATTTTAAACATTTAAATTAGAATCAAAATAAATTATGAGAAAATCATGTAAAATGTGTCACTTAGGACTGAAGTGGAATAATGCTTAAAACAACGTTACCAAAGCTTTTTACTTTACATCATCACGACAAATTAAGAATGCCAGATTTTAAGCAATCACAATTGAAACTGGGAAGAGAGTGCTGATTGGTTGGAAAGTTAATTCTGATTGATAGCCACAAAGAAAACAACAGGGCACTATAGGCTTCTCAAGCCTCCAGGTATTTAAAAAAGCACAAGTATTTGACATATTCCTTTTGTTTGCAGAAGTCCCAGTGCTTGAACGTATATCACTTCTACCACATTACAAGTGCAATGGATTATTTTAAATTAGTTGTTTGTGTAGCAATTATCACACTCATAATTGCTTGGCAATTGTTGCATTATTGCAGAATCACATCCAATAGTAGAAAATCTGTTCAGAGCTTTGCAAACACAGTACGTTGAGCTAGTATAATGAACAAGAACGGTACATGCTGATTAATTTCATCAGCTAATTGTTGGGATGGACAGCCTACATATTTGGTAATGCATGGGCACTGAAATTCATACAATGCTTTTCAATTGAATGGTAGGCTGAATGACTTTTTGAACTGACAGCTGGGGAAAATATCAATCGCATAGCCGTGAATTGCAGCAGTGTGAAATGGTTTGTGTAACTTGTCGTTCATACTTTTGAGATCCTTTGGCTTTCCAAGGTAATTTGAAGTGAAGAGAGGGCACTTTTCAGCTCCAAAAGTGGACACCTTTGCACCTTTTGGGTGTTACAGTGAACAAGATAAATGAATTGAGCCTGCAGTCATTTTAGGTCTGCAAACAAAGTTTATGGTCAGTCCTTGTGATATTTTGCCCACAAAACAAAAATTCTAATGTGGCAAGTTACTGTTCCATCAGTCTACTCAGTAAATCATCAGTAAAATGACGGTATCATCAACAGTGCTATCAATTGGACTCACTCAGCAATGTACTGGCACTCAGTTTTGATTGCACCAGGGAAATCCAATTCTGACCTCATTATAGCCTCGGTCCAATTATGGACAAAAGTGCTGAATTATCCACTGGCCAGAGTCACACCTAATACACAGGACAAGGGTTATGGCTGTTGGAGGTTAATTATCTGAGACTGAGGATATTGCTGCTGGTATTCCTTCGGGTGATGTCCCAAGTCCAACCACCTTCAGCTACTTTATCAATGACCTTCCCTCCACTGAAAAGTCAGAAACGGACATGTTCACTGATGATTGCACAATGTTTAGCAGCATTCATGACTTGTCAAATACTAAAGCTATCCATGCCCATATGCAGGAAGAATGGGACAACATTCAGGCTTCAGTTGATAAGTGACAAGTAACAAGTAACATCCACACCACACAAATGCCTGGCATTGACCATCTCAACTTGAAATTCATTGGCATTACCATCACTGAATCCCCACTATCAATATCCCACAACTTACCACTGACCCAAACCAAACGAGACTAACATATAAATGCCTGGCTTTAAGAACAAGCTCAGAGGATGGGAATCCTGCTCTAAGTAACTTGACATAATCCAAGTCAAGGCAGTTCACTTGATTGACACCCTTTATAATACCTTCAACATTCATTCTCTCCACCACTAACAAAATGGCAGCAGCATCCACAATCTACAGGATGCACTGTCGCAACTCACCAAGGTTCCCTCAAGAGCACCTTTTAAACCTCCAATTTCTACCACCCGGAAGGACAAGGTCAGCAGCTACATAAGAACACTACCACTTACAAGTTCCTTTTCAAGTCACATATCATCTGACTTGGAACCATATAGCTGCTCATTCACTGTCACTGAATCAAAATCCTGGAACATTCTAACAGCGTTGAGGGTGTACTACACCACATGAACTACAGCAGTTCAAGGTGATTGTTTGAAATTCAGTACTCCTGCGTTTGTCTCAGTTATAGAGTCATAGAGATGTATAGCATGGAAAATGACTCTTTGGTCCAACTCTAGTCGCATTTGCCAGCATTTATCTTATATCTCTCTAAACCCATCCTATTTGTATACCCATTGAGATGCCTTTTAAATGTTGTAATTGTAACAGCCTCCACCACTTCCTCTGGCATTTACTCCATACATGGACCATCCTCTGCATGAAAACGTTGCACCTTAGGTCACATTAGTGCAAGACAAAAAGCTTTGGCAATGTATCTCTCTTTTTGTAAACATGAAAAAGTCACTCAAACGTTAAGCACTGAGTGGTACAGAAGTTTACAAAAGCAGATTTGCACAATAATCCTTCCATCCCATTACAGTGGGAGCACTGCAAGAGACCTGTCTTGACAGGAAGGAAATGATCCAGATATGACTGTAGCTTTATACTTTCACAACCATTTAAAACCGGCCATTTGTGAATTATCGGTCACAGTGACAATTATTAAAGTTCACATTAAGTGCAAAAATTAATTTTAAACTGGGTTTGGGATTAGGTGTTAATTGCATGCTTCAGGATCTCATGCCAAACCCCACGCCACCTGCATCCTATCTGGATGGGATTTCCACAAAAAGATACAAACATAAATTCCAACTTAAACACACTGATATAAAAACTTAATTCATAAAACTTACTGATCTACAGTTGCAAGACAATGTAAACATAATTCTGAAATACATACACTTAATTTTGTTCAAAGTCTAAGACAAAAGGCAAACTAACAACTCCACATTCAAGTATTAGTCCAATGTATTGTATCAAGTGCAAGACAGTGCGCATAATTCAAGGGTATATTTTTGTCCAGTGTCTCCATCTCCACTTTGGTAATTTTTTTAAAAAACAAATATCAAAGTGATATATCTATATTGATCTGGAGGTTTCATGAGTGAAGGATTTTACAAAAAGCAACTTTTTATAAAAAAAAATGCAAAATGTGGCGTCCCACATTCGCAGGCTTGCCTGCTGGTTTTTTTTTTAATTTCAGAAACTGAAATGGTTTGAATGCTGATTGATATATTCAGAGTCAACTTTGTAGTTTATAATCTTCGCTCTGGAAAAAGACATGAGTTGCACCTTAAAAAAAGACAGGATGTCAGTGACTGAGTGAATCCCCCAAACAGAGGTCAAAGGGTGACACAGCAATAAGCTACCCATAAATCTTTGGCAGCTGCTGAGGCCATTGGAGACTTAATATTTCCTTGGACAGACATTTCATTTTCCACCTTTATCTTGCCTAGAACACACTCCACTCCTTTGCAGCCCTGAAAGCAAACATAAAAAAAGGATTAAGCAGAAAACAAAATATCGAAAACAACTTGCAAGTAAAGGTTTATCAATTTTTGTTTAAATGGCATATAGAATATATTCAGCATTATATCTAAATACTGAGCACCAACCCTGTTACAGGAAGGATATTATTTAACAGTACAGGGTTCAGAAAAGATTTACCAGGATTTTGCCAGGAGTGGAGGGTTTAAGTTATGAAAGTAGGCTGGATGGGCTGGAACTTTTTTCACTGGAGTGTAGGAGGTTGAGGGGTGACCTTATAGAGGTTTATAAAATCATGGGGAGCAAAGATAAGGTGAATAGCCAAAGTCTTTTTCCCTAAGAGAATTGTTAGTGTGGAATGAGCTGTCAGAAGTGGTAGCTGCAGGTTCAGTTACAATGTTTAAAAGACATTTGGATACATACATGAATAGGAAAGGTTTGGAGGTATATGGGCCAAACGCAGGCATATCTATATTCCACATGATGGAAAGGCCCAGGTATCAGCTTTGCAGTACATATATCCAAGACAGAGACTACAAGGAAGCTGCAACGGAAATCCAGTACACAAGCAGTTAAAATACAATATATCCGGGCAAATATTTAAGCAATATGCAGCTAATGAGTTAAAGCTGAAATCCAGGAAAAAAGCAGGTGCATTGAAAGTATTCTTTAGAATGCTAGGTCCTGATTTGATAAACTTTCATTCAAAAATTTTAAAATGTGAGGATACCATCCTACTGCATGGCACAGACTTTGAACATGTCTAGTAACTCTAAACTGGGAATCCATAAGCAGAATTGCAACTACCACAGCCTGGCCCCATGGCCCCAACTACCATTAACATCAAACTGGAAGATCAACTCTGATTCAATGAACAGTGCAGGGGACATGCCAACAGGAGCACCAGTAATACCCAAATATGAGGTGCCAACCTTGTGAAGTTATGACACAGGAAATTTGCATGCCAAACATCAGAACCAATATGTAATACAATCAATCCCGTGCCCAACAGAGCAAATCAACAGTTCAAAGGAGGTTTACAAGATTGATACCTGGAATGTATGGATTGTGCTAATGAGGATAGGTCTGACAGACTGAGTTTGTAACAACTGGAGTTTAGAAGTTTGACAGATGGCTGATTGTAGTGAATAAGATTCTGAGTAGCCTTGCTAATTTGGACATGGAAAGGATGAATCATCTTGCGGATGACTCCAGAACTAGGAGGCACCATTTCAAAATTAGGGGTTGCAGGTTTAGGACAGAAAGGAGGGGAAAGATTTTTGTTTCTTTCAGAGGGTTGCGTGACTTTGGAGCTCTCTGCCTCAGGGGGTAGCGGAAACACTGGGTTTGTAAAAGAGGAGGTAGGGTTGCATTAATGAAGGAGTCAGTTAGTGTCAAGGGCCTGTGTTCCATTCCAGCCTTAGGTGGCTGTAGGTATGGAGTTTGAGCATTCTCCTTGTGTCTGTGTGCGTTTCCTCTGGGTGCACCAGTCTCCTCCCAAAGTCCAAAGATGTGCAGGTTAGTTGGATTGGCCGTGCTAAAAATTGCGCATAGCATCCAGGTTAGGTGGATTAGCCATTGTAAAAACTCTATGCATGGTTACAAGGAGGGGGTGGGGAATGGGTCTAGGTGGGCTGCTCTTCGAAAGGTCAGTGCAGACTTGATGGGCTGAATGGCCTCTTTCTGTCTAAAATAAATATTTCTCATGTGATAGTTATTGTATTTATTAGACAACTTCCCTTTCGTCCCTTCATTATTAGTACTTTCAGAATGTTCTTAGTATCCTCTACCATGAGGACTAATGCAAAGCATTTAGTCAACTCCTCTGCCAGTGCCTGTTTCTCCAGCTTCATTCTCCTAAGGGCCTACATTCACTTTGGCCTCTCTGTTCCTTTTTATATATATAAATAAGCTCTTACTGTCCACTTTTACATGACTTGCTATTATTTGTTGGTTATCTTTTGGTGGCTTTTACACTTTCCCAATTCTCCCAACACCACCAATCTTTGCCACATTGCATTTTTTTCTCTTTCAATTTGATTCCATTGTTAACCTCTGGTTAATTGTCAGCTTATTCCCTTCTTAGAATCTTTTCTCCTTACAGGGATACATCTTTGCTGCGATTAGTAAACTATTTTCTTAAAGGACTGCCATAATTCCTAAAACATCTCTTCCACTAAATTCCCTTCCCAGTCCACTCCAGCCAACTGTACCTTGATCCTGTGTTATTAACCTTATGCAAGTTTAGCACCATCACTTCTGACCAACAATTCTCACACTAAAACTGAATGCTAAATTCTACCTGGTTACAGTCACTGCTCCATACTGGATCTTTTACTTTTGAGCTAATTTAGTAAACCTGTCTCATTATATATGACCAGATCAAAAATAGCCCAATCCCTGGTTGTATCACAAAATATTGTTTTATGAAACTGTTCTGAACATACACTCTGAATTATTTCTTGTAGCTACTTCCGCCAATTCATTTTTCCCCAATCTACATGAAATTTAAGTCACCCATTACTAGTGTACTGTCATTTTTACATGTCCCCATTACCTATGTATTTAATCTCTATCCTACAGAACTAGCTACTGTTAAGAGGCTTATAGATTACTTCCTTCAGTATCTTCTTCCACTTGCTACTTCTTAACCTCCATGCGTATGGATTCTAGATCATCCAATCCAAAATCCTGTCTTGCTCCTGTACTTTTTCCATCTTGTAATAATAAATTTATCCTACCACTCTTCCTTCCTGCCTTAACTCTCAAGAAGTCATATACCCATTCCCAACTTTGATCTTCTTGTGGTTACTGTCTTTGCAATGGCTATAAGGTCATACCCATAAAGCTGTATTTCTAATTCATATTTTTTGTTCTGAATGCTATACGTATGAAAGAGCCAGTAGTTTTGCCTTTAACAATATTGTTGCCTTTTCACCCTATTTACTGCTGTTTTTATATGCTTATGCATTCTGTCCCTTACAGTCTCATTCTGGGTATTATCATATGAATTGTTGCCCCCTACAATGCCTTTTTGTTTTTTTTGTAAGCCTATATGTCCCCTTCCAAAATCCTCTCCCCCTTTAATTAGTTTCCAACATCACAGATGCTGGTCTTGAGGCAATCAGACTCACTTCCTGACACCATCGAGGATAAAGCAGCCCACTTGATTGGCACCCCATCCAGTAACTTAAATGTTAAAGTTTCCCCTCCAGGACAGAAACCACCCTGACTTAGAAATGTATCGCTTTTCCTTCACTGCTGCTGAGCCAAAATCCTGGAACTCCTCCCCTAAAAGCAGTCTGGAATACCTACACTACTTGGACTGCAATGGTTTTTATAAGCAGATCATACAACATTCATGGGAGAAATTAGAAACGGGCAAAATTGCTGGTCTAGCTAGTGACACCCACATCCTATGAATGAGAAAAAAGCATCACCAGGGAAACAGGCTGCAATTATAAAACAGCCACTGGTCAGATTTAATAACAGTACAACAGCAAGTATGCTTCTAATGTTCTTACATAATCATATGAGATCAAACCACAAGCTGCTAAAAGGATTTGGGGATGAAATTCATATTATTTACTATTTTGTGTTCGAACTAAAACCTGGTTCAACTGTCAACCAAAGGTAGATACTTCTGGCACATATTGCAATAGTTTTAAGGGTCACACTGAGCAGAGCAGAGTTAGCTCCCAAGATACTTATAAAATTTCTTTATCCAAAAGGATCCAATGTACCCTCTTCCGGTGACAGAAATTGTAACTGTCAGGGTTCTTCCCGAGATGAAAGCTGTTACTACTTGAATTTAACGTATGCATCAGTTGCATACAGTTAATTAATTGCCAAATGCTTTATTCATGGCTACTGAATTACCAAGAAATTGACCCATGTGGATGTGAAATTACTAATGAGGCTTATAAACTGCAGTGCAGGACAGCTCAGGACTCTCACTTGCTGCCTCGTTTCTATGAACGTTGCTCCAAGATGCCCTGTCCCAGGCTTTTTAATAAAGGAGACAATATGTTACCTTATAATCAAAGAGTTTCACCAAACATGCAACACTTAGAGGAAAAAAATGTAGCTAATAAAAATCAAAGCAATCAGTATTTCCAACACAAAATAACACAGCAGGTTGAAAAACATAGAAGACTAAGCAAGTCAAGCTACACAAAAGTTCCACGTAACAAAATACTATTAGTTTGTTAGGTATCTTAATAAATAAATAAATAGTTACCACTGGGGGGAAGTGCAATATGCAGAAGTGAGAGCTGTTAGCTAACAGCAGAGTTTTGAATTATCCATTCAATAGCATCCCACCCCTAGAGCAACACAGAAGAGTCATATCACACAGAGTAGAACAGATAGTTTAAAATATTTTCACCATATGGTAAAACAAGTCTGTTTAGGATCACTCAGAAAAATACTCAAAAGATAAAAGTAATTCAAATAAATTCTTTGCTAGTCCTTTAAATGCTGTATCTTGGTATTTTATGTGCATTTAACATTCATGTTGAATCATAGCAATGTTAATTAGATCTGTCAAAAATATTACCAAGTAACTACCTGCAAAAGAAAAAAGGTCTTTGTAACTCAGTGGCACTGTCCCCACCTACAGATCCATATTAAAGTCCCACCATTTGTAGAGGTCTAACATGTCCAAACAAGTTGATTAAAAAAAAAGAATAGCTCCATCTGTTTCAGGTATAGGTTCTATAGAATGGGATGATGATAACCAAATAACCCTTCCAATTGTAATTAACTAAATTTGCACACTGATAGACAATGATATCATACTGTAAAGTATGAAACACAAATAGAAAGTGCCGGAAAAACTCAGCAGGTCTGGCAGTTTCTGTAGAGAGAGAAACTGAGTTATTGTTTTGAGACAAAATCAGAAATTGCTGGAAAAACTCATCAGGTCAGGCAGGATCTGTGGAGGGGAAACAGAGTTAACGTTTCCGGTCCAGCGTCATTTCTTCAGAACTGTTAATTTCATCAACCTGTTTGAACATGTCACACATTCAGGACAGGTGGGCCTTCTGGCCCAGCGGTAGGGACAGTACCATTGAATGCAAGACTTTTTTTTAAAAACAGATTGAGTCATTTGATATACTTTTGACAGACCTAATTAACTATTCTGACAAAGGGTCATCAGACTCGAAACATTAACTGCTTCTCTGTTTACAGATGCTGGCAGAGCGGCTAAGTTTCTCCAGCACTCTGTTTTCACTTCAGCTTTCCAGCATCTGCAGTTCATTTGTTTTATTTCACTGTAAAATACATTTAATCAGTTAATGGCAATTCTAAGAGTCTGAAGCTTTAAACATTCAGGTGTTGTTTTTCTGCTTTTTCTTAAAATAGGAGACAATGCACTTTATCTGAATAAGCAAGTTGGTTTATATGCCATTCTTTACCAAACTCTGGCAATAATTCTGAAATAGTATTAGATTATATGCAAGTAATCTTTACAATTACATTTATTAGGCAGTTTAATATTGAGACCATATTTTAGGAAAGGTAAATTTTTTAAAGGACATGGAGGTTTCCAGGTAATGTTTATTATATGATGCTAATAGACAGGGAAAGCTGCAGAGGTAATGGCAAATGGGAGTCACACAAATCGACAAGAAATTAATGCAAGACCTCAGATAAAAAGTTGCCTATTAAAATGAAAACAAAATGGATTTATAATAATATTCAAAAATTTTAAAAATGACCTGCACTTATAGAGTACCTCACTCAGTACATTCCAAAGCAAAGAGTTAAGTCTATAAGGGTACAAAAACAGAAATTGCTGGAAAAGTTGAGGGTGTTCTGAGGAAGGTTCACTCGACTCAAAACATGAACTCCACTTCTCTCTACCGATGTTGCCAAAGCTGCTCAGTTTTTCCAGCAATTTCTGTTTTTGCTTCTGATTCACAGCATCCGTAGTTCTTTTGGTTTCTGTTAGGGTACAGTTTCAAGAGATGGTGAACATGCTGAATGGTTATAAGATTTAGGTGAACACTCCAGCACAGTACTGAGGGAGAGCCACGTTGTTGGAGGTGCCAGCCTTTTGCTGAGACATTCAATCAAATCTTGCTCTGAGGTGGATGCAAATAATTCCACAGCACTATGAACAGATAGGTAATTCTTCCAATGTCCTGACTAGTCATAAGACATAGGAGCAGAGGTAATCCATTCAGCCAATTGAGTGTGCTCCATCTTTCAATGAGATTATAACTGTTCTGATCATTTTCAACTGTCTTTCCCCATAAACCTGGATTGCCTTACTGATTAAATATCTTTCTCATGCTTTGAACATACTTAAGGACACAATGTTGACATTGTGCAGTACACAATTCCACAGATTCACTATCCTCTGAAAAACGAAGTGCCTCCTCATCTCCTTACTCTCTGAGATTATGCCATCTGGTCCAAGACTCTCCCACAATGGGAACTAATTTTGCCACATTTACTCCTAATAACGTTATACTTTTCAATAAGGTCATCTCTTGTCTTTCTAAACTCCAAGTACAAACCCAACCTATTCAACCTCACTTCCTCAACACTACCAGTCTCTCCACTTACCTTTGTATCATCTGCAAACTTAGCAACAATGCCCTCAGTTCCTTCATCCAGATCATTAATGTATAACATGAATAGTTATGGTCCCAGTTATAGTGACTCCTGTGGAACTCCACTAGTCACTGGCTGCCATCCTGAAAAAGATCCCTTTATTTCCACTGTCTGCCTTCTGCCAGTCAGCTGTTCCTCTAGCCATGCTAGTACCTTGCGCCTAACACCATGGGCTCTTATCTAATTTAGCAGCTTCCTGTATGACACCTTGTCAAAGGCCATCTGGAAATCCAAACAGATCACATCCAGTGGCACAAGTATAGCACTGGGATCTACCTGACAATGTGGAAAATTGCCCAGGTATGTCCTGTATACAGAAAAGCAGGACAAATCCAAACTGATCAGTTACTGCCCCAGTCTACTCGTAGCCATCAGTAAACTAATGGAAAAGTGTCATCAACAATGCCATGAAGCAACAATTCTTTAACGATAACTTGCTCACTGATGCCCAATTTCAGTTTTCTGCTAGTATTACACAGTTCCTGGCCTCATTACATATTTGGTTCAAACATAGGCAAAAGACCTGAACTGCAGAGGCAAGACGAGAGTGACTGCCTTTGACATCTAGGTTGCACTCAACCAAAGACCACCAAAAGGATGATGCATAATCTTAGAACTTGCATATCTGGATAGACAAAGAAACCTACCTCATTTACATTTTTAAGCGGCAAAAATATAGCCTTCAAAAAGGTATATGATTGAGATCCTGGAAATGGTAAAGAAATAGCCTCTTGTTTGGTGGACAAGTTATTAGTACTAAACAGGCAGATGAGAACCAGAGGTACCAACAAAATGAAGGAACAGAGTTAGTAAGTAATTAGATTGCAAGTATGTGTCATGGTTGTGGATTCACTGCAGAATTGCCAATCGGAGCTGAAAACTGTGCTAATGGAAGGTATGCTGTTACAGCAGATAGATGTGGCTACTTGTGATTAGTACCATCTGTTGCAGTAATCTTCTGGAACTTTCTTGATTGACCTAGAAGAGTCAAGGTGGAATTGCTCAGATATTTTTCCTCTTCGTCACCTCTCCTAAGGAGAGTGTATAACTGTGGATCAGTAATGGCGAATGGAAATTGAATCATATTTGGTTTGATATTGGAAGACTAACTAATCATTGTCACCACCAAGGTAATAACTATTCAAACAGCAGAGAATATCATCCGAGCACAGTATTTCCTCCCAAGCCTAAATGGCAACAACAGCTCTTAATCTCAAATATTAAATGCTCAATGGACTCAAACCCCTAGCCATTAGCTCAGTCCAGTTCTAGTTAGTTGATGGTAAATGCAAGTTAGGTACCAACATTTACAGCTGTTGTAAAATTACTTTTGAGTCTCCACCTGTTCCTGTGGTAATTAACATGATCAACTTTTGCCTGTATGCATCAGTACATAACACATTTAACAAAATGCAAAGACTTCACAATGATGTAAAACTATGACATAGTAGCTAACATCTACATCACAAACCAGCAAAAGTCTTTTAAGACTTACTTGCCACTCATTTCACAATCACTCACTGATTTCACTGCATGTTCATTTCTGCAGCTAAGAGGTCATGGTAAAAGGGGCCTGGCAACAATTGTTACAAGTTGTCCAAATACAATTGTTTCACAGATTTCTCATTTCCAATTTGGATGAGGTCAGGAACTCAACTGACAAAGATCAAACATGTAGCGCCTTACTATTGAACAAAGAACTAGGAAGTGTCCAACAACATTTTTCAGACAGAAGGAGGAAGCAAAGGGGTGAGAGTAGGAATGAATGAACATAGATTTTTCATTAATTTTCCTTACAAGTAGCTGAAAATTGCCACATTGAGACGAAGTCACCCAAAAGACTTGTTTTAATTATTGACAGCGGTGATTTCTCATTTATTCTGGAACCTAAAGATTAGAAGCAGTTGGACTGCGAAAGACTCAATTTCCATATGGAATGGCTATAGCACTTTGTACACTCAAAAGACACATCTACTTAAAATAAAACTGTGCACATACCTTTCCTGCATTGGCAGAAATTGTGTTGGCCATTAATCCTTCCAAATAGCTACTTAAGATAACTCCTTTCACTGTGATTATTGCCTCCTGGGTCAAAATGGTTCTAAAAGTCAAAGTCAATGTTAAGATTATGTAAAAAAAATATATAAAATCATTTACATATTAAAATATCTTCACATTATATCCAAAATGGTTTTGTATTTAGTTATAGTGTGTCCTGGTAGTCCAAAATGTTGGTATATGGCACGTAATATTACTTCATTTTAGTCTTAATCTCTCTCTGAAGTCACAATTTGCAAATTTAGTACCATTTCCAATTTGAATCATCTAAAGCTAGATTGCTTTAAAATTCTTTCATGGGGTATGGGCAGCACAGGCTGGCCATTTGGGCGATGTGATAGCTTAGTGTTATTATCGCTAGACTATTAATCCAGAAAACCAGGAAATGTTCTGGAGACATGGGTTCAAATCCCACTATCGCAGATCATGGAATGTGAATTCAACAAAAAGCAAATTCTGGAATTAAACGTCTGGAATGATGACCATGCCCTTGAACACTGTTGATTGCCAGAAGGCCCATCTGATTGACTGATGTCATTTCAGGAAGGAAATCAGTTATTCTCATCTGGTCCAGTCTGTATGTGAATCCAGAAACAGTGTGGTTGACTCCAAACTGCCCTCTGAAATGGCCTAACAAGCTGTAACAATCACTACTGAGACTCAAAAAGGAAACCAGTTGGGACCACCTGGCATCAACCTAGGCACCAAAACAACACAGCAAAACAAAACATCCTTGTTGACACTGCAATGTTCTCTGAGGGCTAGTGCCAAAATTGGAAAAGTTATCTTACAGACTAGTCAAGAAACAGCTTGACATACAGTCATAGAGAAATACAGCTCAGAAACAGACCCTTCAGTCCAACTCGTCCATGCCAACCTAAATAAATCTAGCCCCATTTGCCAGCATTTGTCCCATATCCCTCTAAACCATTCTTAATCATGTACCCATCCAGATGCCTCTGAAATGTTCTAATTATACCAGCCTACACCACTTCCTCTAGCAGCTCATTCCATATATGCACCACCCTCCGCGTGAAGAAGTTGACCCTTAGATCCCTTTTAAATCTTTCCCCTCTCATCTTAAACCTATGCCCGCTAGTTTTGGACTTCCCCACCCCAGGGACATGTCCTTGTCTATTCACCCTATCCATGCCCCTCATGATTTTATAAACCTCTAAAAGGTCACCCGTCAGCCTCTGACGCACCATGGAAAATCGTTCCAATCTATTCAGCTTCTCTAGTTATACTCACTAAATCACACCTTACAAACAATGACCCAGACACCAGCATCACTATATGATGGATAGTTGGAGAAATTAGGATACGCCCATCCCACGAGCTGGGCGGGCCCAGTAACAGTCATGAGGGAGTTATCCTGAGAGTCCTCAACATCGACACCAGGCACTGTGATGCTTCAGGGCATCAAGTCAAACATGGGCAAGGAAACCTCTTGCTAATTACCATGTACCATCCTCCCGTTAACTGATGAATCAGTACTCCACCATATTGAACAACACTTGAAGGAAGCACGGAGGGTGGCAAAAATGTACTCTGGATGGGGGATTTCAAAATACGTCACCCGGGGTGGCTCGGTAGCAGCACTACTTATCAAACTGGTCAATCCTAAAGGACACAGCTGCTAGACTGTAGCAGGTGGTAGTAGGTGGTGAGGGAATCAAAAATAGGGATAAACATACTGTCTTCATCCTCAGATGCATGTATACATGGGAGTATTGATAAAAGTGACCACTGCACAATCTTTGAGAGACAAACCCCCACCTTCACATTGACAATACTTTATATCATGGCATTATCACTGTGCTAAATGGGACAGACTTCAAACAGATCTATCAGCTCAAGACTGAGATGCTGTGGGCCATCAGCAGCAGCAGAATCATATTCCAACATAATCTCACATGCCTGTTACATGCCCCACTCTACCATTACCATCAAGCTAGGGTATCAACTCTGGTTCAGTGAAGAGTGCAGGAGAGGATGCCAAGTACAGATGTATCTAAAATTGGGGTGTCAATCTGGTGAAGCCAGAAAACAAGGGCGACTTACATGCTAAACAGCATAGCCAAAGCAAGTAATACATAAAGTTAAGTGATCCCGCAACTAACAGATCAGATTGAAGATCTGCAGTTTTGACACATCCAGCCATGAATGGCAGTGCACAATTAGACAGTTTATGGAAGGAGAAGGCTCTACAAAATATGCCAAGTGGGTGATCCATCTCAGCTTCCTCCAGTGGTTCCCAGGATCACAGATGCCAGTCTTCAGCCAATTGATTCACTCCATGTGATATCACGAAACTGTTAGAAGCACTGGATAGTGCAAAGTCTATAAGCTCTGGCAACATTCTGGCAATAGTACTGGAGACTTGTGCTCCAGAACCTGCCACACCTCTGGCCACACTGTTCCAGTGTAGCTAGAACCTAACAATGTGGAAAATAGCTTATGTACACAAAAAGCAGGACAAATCCAATCTAGCCAATTACTAATGCATTGGCTGATTCTCGATCATCAGTAAAAGGATAGAAAGTACCATCAACAGTGCTAGCAGAAATAACCTGCTCGCTGGCAACAAGTTTCAGTTCTGCCAAGGCACCCAGGTCCTGGCTGCATTACAGTCTTAAATTCTCCACTGGTTAGAGTCATATCTGAAACACAGGAAATTGGTTGTGATTGCTGTTGATCAGCCATCTCGGCTCCAGGAGATTTCTACAGAGTTCCTCAGGCTAGTGTTCTAGGCCCAACCATTTTCAGCTGCTTCATCAGTGACCTCCCTTCCAACATAAGGCTAGATGTGGGGATGCCCGCCAACGATTGCAACAACAATTGCAACTCCTCAGATAACGAAGCAGTCCATGTCCAAAAGCAGCAAGGCCTGGGCAGTATTCAGGCGTGGGTTGTAAATTGACAAGTAACATTTGCAACACACAAGTGCCAGGCAACGACCATTTCCAGTATGAGACAATCTAACTACCACCCCTTGATACGCAATGACTTTACCATCATTGAATACCCTATTATCACAATGTGGGGGTTGGTTGGGGGGGGTTGGTGCACGTGCGGGTTTACTATTGACCGGAAACTCAACTGGACTAGCTGTATAAATACAGTACTACAAGACAGTATGTCAGAGGCTAGGAAAACTGCAGCTGGTAACTCACTTCCTGCCTTCCCAAAGTAGGGAAGTCCACAATATACAAGGCACAAGTCAGGAATGTGATAGAATTCTCCCCACTTGCCTGGATGAGTGCAGCTCCAACAACACTCAAGAAGCTTGACAGCATCCAGAACAAAGTGGCCCATTAGATTGGCACCCTATCTGCAAACAATCACTCCTTCCACCTCTGATGCTCAGTAGCAGCAGTGCATACCATCTACAAGATACACGGACTAAAGCTCCCTAAACAGCACCTTCCAAACCCATGACCGCTTCCACCTGGAAGGATAAGGGAGCAAATACATGGGTACACCACGAACAGCAAGTTCCCCTCCAAGCCATTCAACATCCTGACTTGGAAATATATCTCTGTTCTTTCAGTGTTGTTCAGTCAAAATCATGAAATTCCCTCTGTAATGCTATTTTAGGCCTACCTACAGCACATGGACTGCAGTCGTTCAAGAGACGGTTCATTACCACTTTCTCAATGGCAACTGGGGAGGGGCAATAAATACTGGCCAAGTGAGCACCTATGTTTTGCAAGTGAATATTCACAAAAAATGCTCACAGCTGTTCATCACTGACCAGGCCTCTTAAATAAAAATTTCTTCAATGTAAATTAAGTTAGATTACAACATGTAGGGGGAGGTAGTGGTTTGATGGTAATGTCACTGAACTACTAATCTAGAGGCACTGAATAATGTTCTGGGCTCATGGGTTCAAACCTTAGTGGATTTTTAAAAATTAATAAGTTTGAAATTGAAAGCCTCAGTAATAGTGCTTTGAAACTGTCAGCTGTAATTTAAATTTAAAAATCTGGTTTACCAAAACAATGTAGAGAAAGAAATCTGGCTGTCTTACCTGGTGTGGGCTACGTGTGAATCCAGACCTACAACAACATGTTGACTATAAACCATCCTCTGAAATGGCTAAGCAAGCCACTCAGATCAAAAGCGATTCAGGATGGACAACAAATGCTGGCCATACCTCATTAAAGAAGAAATAATTTAAACTTTGTTTCATTACACAGATAAAAATATCCAAAAAGCAAGATTTAACCAGCTAAATGTTAAGAAACTATATTGAACTTACTTTTCTGGATTCTCAGGATGAGGTCGATACATCAGTCTTTCATCTACTGACACAAGGTTACTGAGAGTTATCTGTAACAAAAGTAGTGAATAGGATTCAATCTCACCTGAAATGATATCTTATCATTCAGGTAGCTGCTCTTCTAAGATTAAATGCTTAGAACATGAGACATATGTATCAACAAAAAAAAGTTAAAGACAAAGATATTAAAACATCTGCTTTTTTAAAAAACAGTGGCTACTCATAACAAGTATATTATTGCAGAATGACTCAATGTGGTCAGGTGTTAAAAGTTTACACTTACTCCTCAGAGCCTTGCACGTTCTTCCTTTTCAGATAATAATGCAATTCCCACTTGAATGTCTCAATTGAAACTACCTCCACCACAACCTCAGACAGTGCATTCCTGAACCTAACCACTTGCTGCAGGGAGGTTTCTTATGTCAGCGTTGCCTCTTTTGTCAATCCTAATAAAAAAAATTCCAATCTACTCAGTCCAGATTGCCAATGGTCCTGAATACTTCTAACCAAAGCTCTTCTTAACCATATCTTCTCCAAAGAAATGCATCCCAATTATTTAAACTCAGCGAATAAAGTTCTTCATGCCTTTAAATGTTTGTGTTCGTATATTCTGCATTTCTGACACTTTCATCCTTCCTTATACAATGGTGACCAGAAGTGGATGCAATACTGTGTTATGCCTGGATAAGCAGGACTCAAATGGCAACCCTCTTTTCAAACTTCTTAGGTCTTTTGTCTTTAAAAAAGGTTATGTTTGCCAATTCATTAAGTGTGTGCTCAGAATATAAAAGACACACACGGATAAATTAAACCTCTTCAACAATTACAGTTACACACAAACACAAATAAATTACAAAGTGAGGGTACAGATTAAGCTATGTACGCTCCAGTAAAGTGAAGTGAAAGGGGTATCCAGCTCTTGATAATTCGTGACTTGGTTGACTGCTGATTGAACTTTGTGGTCCATTTGGGTTGGTATTAAGACAGTTTAAAGATTTAGACGAACAATTTCTCGCCATCTAAAAACAGTAACTGAAGGGTTGATTTGTTTTAAAGAAAAATCTCTTTGAAGCATACAGGGAGCTAAAAGTAGAAGAAGACAAACTGTTTTTCTTTCGTTTTTGATTTCCCCTGCTAAAGAGAAAAGACGAAATAATTTTTTTTTCACATAACAACCGACTAGGATCTGGAATGCTTGGAGGCAGCTTTCCCCCACTATCAACATTGTGGAAGTTACCACTGACTAGCCATATAAATACTGTGGCTACAACTGCAGGTCAGGTACTAGGAATACTGCAGCAAGTAACTCACTTCTGACTCTCTAAAGTCTGTCCACCATCTACAAGGCACAATTTAGGAGTGTGAAGGAATATTCCCCACTTGCCTGGTTGGGTACAGCTCCAACAAAAAACAAGAAGCTTGACAACAACCAGGACAAATCAATCCACTTGGCTGGCACCACATCCACAAATATTAACTCCTACTAGTACCAACATTCATTAGGGTGTACTATCTACAAGGTGCACTGCAGTAATTCACCAAATATCCTGAGAAAGCACCTTCCAAACCCATAACCATTTCCAGCTAGAAAGATAAGAGCAGCAGATATAAGAGAAAAACGTCACTTGCAAGGTCCTTCCGAGCCACACAACATCCTGACTTGGTGTTACATCATCGTTCCTTCATTGTTGCTGGGACAAAATCGTGGATTCCCTCCCTAATAGAACTGTGGGTTGATGTACATGAATAGACTGCAGCAGGTAAAGAAGGTAGTTCACCACCATCATCTCAAGGGCAAGTGGGGACACACAACAAATGCTGGCTCTGCAAGCAATGCCCACGTCCCACAAATGCAAAGCAGAGGTTCAACTGAGCATGAAACAGTGAATTTAATTTTCTGAAAAGTAACAATGTGCAGGCTACTGGGAAAAGAAAGGTGTGTGGCTCAATGTGAATTGCGATGAGCCAGTAGTCACAATTGGGATGGACTTGCCTCCTTCTGTGATGTGACAATGCTGTGATTCTGTGACCAATAGCCATTTCTCGCCTTATACTTACGTAATTGGTTTTGTTTAAGTTTTGGATTCTTATTTGTGATTGGAGTGTATCATTTTCAATCTTAGTGTGGAATATAAACTGTTTTTCAATGGATCTGTTACAATGATGACACTACTAAATAACTCCATGCTATTGTATAATACTGGATTTAAAGAAACCCATCCCTAGTTGGTGCCACAATGTATTGATTCAGGAAACTTGAGGAAGCATTCTTCAAACTTAACTTCTAGAGCATCGTTGCCATTTTGATTGGTCCACTCTATGTGAAGATTGAAGTCGTCCATATCTTTTCCATTACTTTATCTTATAAATTCCAATAATGAATGCTTTGCCCAATATTACAATTACTACTCGTGGGTCCATAAACCCCGCTCACCAGCAGTTCCTCTCTTGCTATTCCTAACTTTCACCCAGACTGGTTATGTTCCTTGATTTTCTGAAGCAAGATCCTTTATCTCTAATGTCCTTATGTCATTCTATATTATCAAGGCTACCCCTCCTCCTTTTCCATTCTACTTGTCTTTTGTAAATGTGTGTATCCTGGATTATTTATCTCCCAAACTCTCTTACCTTGTAAAGATGTCTCTTGGCAATGGCTATTAGATACAAGCCATTTATCTCAATTTGTGGCACTACTTTTAATTATCTATTGGGGATATTCGATGCTTCCCAATAGCTAATTCAATTTTTTTCACTACAATGTACTGCAGAGGCCTTGCTCTCTGATGTGTTATTATTGTTAATGTGCATGCCACTTCCTGTGCCACAGATCTTGGTTTACTCACATCAATTTATTTTTTTACTGCCTCAACTTTTATCTATGGATTTCTAAACGTTTCTCCACACAACTCTCCTTCCTTTCCAATAATACAGACAAGTTTTTCTACTTGAACTATTTATGTTGGTGCACTTTTACTTTTGTTTACTCTGTCCCTTCCTGTCAGATTGCCACTACCCTGCACTATTGCCTCATCTTTTTAACTTTCTAAGTCTCATACAACATGGGCAATCACTACCATATTCCATCCCTATTACTATTGATACTCTCCATCACTGTATAAGGATGCAACATCTACTTACTGACCTGCAAATGTTCGAACAGAAGCTTTCAGTTCCAGACCTTATTACAAGCAAGGATACAACGGGTAGATGAGGTGAATTACTGAGAGGTAGCTTGAGTGAAGTTAATGGACATGGTTAACACTAATGACATGTTGATCAGCCACTAAAGTCCTTGGCTAAGAATTCACTGCTAATCTGTTTCTTAAAGAATTAACTTATCTTAACATTAAAAAGTATCATGGCATCAGGACAGGAAAAAGAGTTTCACAGCTGATTAATCATTTCTGAATATAATCTCTACTGCACTCTGGGTAAACATAGCAACCAATGTGAATACAGCATGATCCCCCAAAAATCATCACATCAATCTTTTTAATGTATTGGTTGAAGAAAAGATTTTGGATTGGACGTTATAAGAAGAACACGTTCTAAAGGTAATATGAGATCTTGTATGTCTATGAGAGGGCTTAAAATCTTATCCAAAGGATGGCATCATTGAAAGAGCAGCATTCCTATAAGACTGTGCTGGAGTTCCAATTTATTTTAAGTCAAGTCTTCAAAATTTGCAGTAAGTCTTTGACCATTTGATTCACACAGCAGTGGTGTCAAGTTTGACTCTTACTTCACAAATATAAGATGATTAATACGATGATTTCAATGTTGTGTTATAACACTCCTGTGAAGCATTTTGGGACTCTTATTACTTTAGGGATGTTATACAAATACAAGTCGTCATTGTGTCCTTATTGCATTGATTCAGTCCATTCAACAGCTTTCACTGGCATAAGAATGCAAATGTTATCTTATTCTGCCACTACTAATGCAAATCTCTGGCCAATAGTACAAGGAGGATTTTCATGCCAAAAACAACTTCAAAGGTCTTGAGATATATCTCAAATATAGCAATCCATGAAGATGGAACAGAGAAAAATAGACTTGCACTAACTTAGCATTTTACATGCCCCTGAATGTTTCAAAGTACTTTACAGCCAATGAAGTTGAAGGGTAATCACGATTGTAATCTAGGAAACACAGCAGCTTCCACATACAGCAACGTGATGATAACCCGATCATCTCTTTTTTGTGAGAATAAACAAAAGAATAAATATTGGTCAGAACACTGGGGATAATTTTCCTGCCCTTCCTTGGACTGGTGCCATAATTTCTTTTACAATTGCTTGAGTAGGCAGTAACACTTTTGTTTAATATATGATCTGAAAGCTAGCATCTCCAACAATGCAATTCTGCACTGCTCTGGGTGTCAATCTTGAGTAGTGCACTGAAGCCACAGTGTGGAACCTGAACCCTGAATAATGTGACTCAGATACGAGATATCAGAGTGCTACCAATTGTGCCACATTGGACACTCGAAATTCAATAATGCAAAGCTTTTCAAAGAGGACAGTGTCCCTGTGCAACTATTATGAGTAACATCAATTTTTATTTCATTTAAGTTGTATGGAGAAGCAAGAAAATGTATTTGATATATGTACATTACCAGATTATACAGACACTCACATCGCTAAGAATTTCAAACTCATGTACTTACATTAGAAGAACTAAGTTCCATTGTCCGTTCAACTGGATCTACAACAGAATGTTCTTTAATATACGTTGTGGTCCTGCTTGTACCTAGTATCTAGCAAAAACACATTACATACTTTACAAAATGAAATTACCTTCATTGTCTTTAATTCACTGTAATTTCTGAATAATACTTACTGAACAGAGAACTGAATATTATTCAAGTTTGGTTGAGTCAAGTGAATTTACCTAAGAATTAGGAGTAGGTTATTTGGCCTCTCTAGACTGCTCCATCATTTAATAAGATCGCGGTGGATCGGATTGTGACTTGAACATGTGATGATGCTGTCACTTTAAAAGGGTTATTTTGTCCTGGGTGTTTTTGAAGAGAGGTTGTAAAGGCAGAGGTACTGAACTGCCGACTGAAGACAGCTTAAGTAAACACCTTAGCAGGCCGAGATAACAAGGTGTAGAGCTGGATGAACACAGCAGGCCAAGCAGCATCAGAGGAGCAGGAAAGCTGACATTTCGGGTCTAGACCCTTCTTCAGAAT